ACTCCCTGGCTACTGCCTGTCGACTTCCTATATACTATGCGTCTTTCTGAACCTTATGCAGATCAGCTCGCATCCTCGTAGGGTAGGAGCTTCTTTGGACAACCTCTTCTCGCTCATGAAAAGAGTTCACTAAGCGATCCTCTTATGAATCTCCTCCTCTCCTTCCCGAGACATATCATAACCCCGTCGGGCATCCTAAAGTTATTTCCTTATCATGATTAGAGTATACAGGAGATTCGAAAAATTCTCAAAAGACTTTGACTCGTTTGGCCAAACTTTTAACTGACACTCCTTTTCCCTTTCCTTTAAAAACTAAACCCTTGAAAAACGCAGATCGTCACTCCATTATTCCTTGGAGACCAAGGAATAGAGGAGTGCCAACTCTGATACCAAAATGAAACGACCCGCTCTTTTCCGAAAAACCAAACCATAACTCAAACCAAAAACTAGTTACTCCGGAGGAACCCAACCAACTTTTTAAAATAAATATATGACAATGTGTAAGAATTTCAAACTAAAAGCCTTAACACTTGGGAAAATGACAATCTCAATACTTAAAACGATTGAACTCAGAATCTCCAGTTTACACTCCTAACCATGTAACTAACAAATTAAACTATGCTAGCTCCGACTCTTCACGAGTTCCTTGACTTCCCATCAATGCTGGTGCAGCTACTCGCCTCGCCTTGCCTCTTCTCGAAATCCGCCTCTGATAACACTACAACAAATTCGGCCTATTATGACGGGGCCATTTGGTCATATAAGATACCTATTTTGTCATACTTGGCCTAATATGAAAAATGTGTTTGTCACAAAGTTTTGTCATTTTATCGCCGTTAGGATAGGCCAAATGTGACAAATTTTTGAAACACATTTGTCACATATGCTTCCATTATATGAGGTTCTGGTTAGTCTATTGTGACAAACAAAGATAATATGACGAAAATTGTTGTCATTATTTTTGTCATATATTGATACTTTTGAGAAATTTGTTGGTCATATTAGACGATCATAGTTTGTCATAACAGTATTTTGTGACGAATAATATTTGTCATGAGAGGTTCAGAATTTGTCACAAGCCTAATATGACAAATCCATTTTGTGTCAGGAAATGATTATAATGTGACAAACTAAAAAGTTTGTCAACATGTTTTTTCATAAATTGAAAGCATATTACTGGGTTTATACTCTTGCATCACATTGTTGTGACTAATATATTTTGTCATAAATTATGTTGTGACGAATATCCTTTGACATAAATGCGTATCTGACGAATTTTTTTGTCATTTCAGTATATTAGGACGATCACATTTTGTCATAACTTATAATTGTGACGTGGCCCTTTTGTCATAAATCCTTATTATGGCGAGTATATTTATCATTTTTGTCTATTATGACGAGTATAGCTCGTCATGGACTTGTCATAATATTAAAACTTTCCATTGTTGTCACATTTGACCTGCTTAACAAATTCCCTAATGCAAAATTTTATCCGCAAACTGAACATGGAGATATATTGGAAAACATCTAACATATTACATCCATGTCCATTCCCATAACAGAGTACGTCCTTGTTCACCATAAACAAACATTCAAAGTTGTCCAACATCACACAACACATGAAACTCCTTGTTCACCACAACACAAAGCATGATAACTTTGTTCACAAAAGCATAAACTAACATACTTCTAACACCAACACCTAGCCTGCACTCTCATCTGCCTCTGCAAACTAAGGGAGTGTTGTTTCCTTGGACTTAGTAGTTCATTTGCGGGGTAATTGGTGAGCAATCACTAGCACTTGATGCTGTAGCTTGTCTTGGGCGACTTTCATCTGGTTCATCTCCTTTGCTTGAGTATCAAACCTCTCCTCCTGGCTCTTTAAATTTTCTTCCTGAAGTTGTATCTTCTCAGCCTGGCTTTTTAGCTACTCCTCCTAACTCTGTATCTTCTCAGAAAACTCGGCTTTTCTTTCTGCTTCAGCCCTTGTTGCCTCCAATTCTGCTTGGAGTTGAAGCTCCTTTGCTGATCTTAGGTTCTCTTTCGGTCCATACTTCACCTTTTTCTTGAGGACTTTCTCAACAATGTCACGGCCTGATATAGGCTTCCCCTCTGCCTTTGCTTCTATCCACATGGACTACATCTCCAACTAGGCATTGAACAACAATGGGTAATGAGATATGTCACATGGTTTGGTATGAACTTATCGAAAATCAAACAAGGCACAAAAGGATGAACTCACATAGTTCTTCTGCGGTTCCTCGGATACCCAACTACCGTCAGCCCACTGATTCCTCTTCGCATACAGTAGGAGATCTATTGGCTCCTCCTTTACGGTATCAGCGTCCTCCATATAAGCTTCCCGCTTTGCTTGAGTAGGCTGCTCCTCCTGCTGCTTTTGCTTCTTTTTCTTCTCCTACACGAAGCAAGGAAAGTTCCACAATCAGGCAGAGTTAAACCAACTCATATATTCTTTGAATGTATAAATTAGTCTTTGAATTCGAGAACACTTACCAACTCATATATTCTTTGATCAAGAGATTTTGCACCAGAAGTGTGTGCATACACTTGCTTACTCTTGTTGGCTTTATTTATTTGGCTTCGCTTCTGCATATGACAAATACAAGTCATTAGCAACTATTTATTGTAAGGCAAGGTTACACATGAAAGAATTGATGATGAAACAGAAGGAGTTACTTACTAAAAAGTTTTCACTCTCAAAGTGATCACACAGCATATGCCAATCCTCTATGTTCATGACCACTGGAGGGTTTGTCCTAGCTATTTGAGGGCTTTCAGGTAGTGAGCGTGCATCGCATACTTGTAATTGATGAACCGCTTCTTCGTTCTCTTCTCCATAATCTTCCTTGCATCTGCTGCTACCGTGTCTATGCCAAATTCATCCTACATTAAAAAATTATATACTTCATTTACCAACAGATAGTGAAGTTTCCCAAGTCAATTAAAACAAAAACCACAACTTTGCATTTCACGATTTAATCATCAACGTAAATGGGTTACAAACTCCAAAACCACAAAGGAGAAAACAAGGGAGACTTGCCCATGAGGCAACAACAAGCTGTGCTGCCACCAAGCTTTGCTGCCTCGTCCCACCCCCAGAACACAAACTACTGGGCAATATATAAAAGGAAATACAGACCGAAAAAAACAAACAAACAGCAGCGAAAGAAACATGTCCAGATTAGCCTACTTCATGCCAAACTAGGAGTTTTCGGAAATTACCTCTAGCTTCTTGAATAACGGGTGCTTGTCTGCTTCAGTCAACTTTGACCAGTAGTACTTCCTTATCGGGGCCATCAGGTGTGTTACGACGCCCAACTCTGTCTTCAACAAGCTCTCATTAGGCCCTACGAATGACTGCCCATTCTCCATTACGTAGATTCCATCTATCTTGCCTCCAGTTCTGGTTCTCTTCATTATCTCGTACCCTTTGGACAGTCCCCTCGTTTTAGCCGCAGGGGCTCCTTCCAATCTAGTTGGATTACTACCTTGTCCGGTCTCATGATTGGATGCTTCTGCCTCCGAATCATCGTTGCCATTGGGTTCGTCTGGATTCACAGTGTCTGTGCGTTGAGTATCCTCATTCACTGAGGCTCCAGTTCGACTTCCAATCCCCCCGCTTACAGATTCGGTGGACCGAGCAGGTTCGGGCCGCACCCTCCCTGATCTTGTCGCCCGGTAAAAATCTGGGATCGACACTCCCTTGTCAGTAGCAGCCTTCTTCTTCTTCAGTGGCGGCATACCTACAACATAGGAGCAGGTTTAATGGTCAAAAAGCAACAAACAGTAGGTGCTGACCCCAATTGAAGGCTAACGACGATTACTTGCAAAGACCAACAAAGCAAAACCGAAGGAATAGAACACAAAATATGCGAATGAAGGATAAAAAGAGTAAAAGGAACCAAAGCAACAACCGATTACTTGCAAATACCAACGTAAACCAGCTGAGCAAATCGGAACCAAAAGTTCCAAAAAGAGTCGCAAGAATCGAAAATGGCAACTCTGCATGCAACCTTGTTAAGCTGGTTAGAAATCCAAACCACGAGACTTAGCAGAGGCGGCAACACACAAGGAAGACAACACACTATTAAATCTTGGGCTTAGCAGAGGCGGCAACACACGAGGAAGGGGCAATAGCAATTAGAAATCCAAACCCTAATCGACAAACTACTCACACGAGGCACAAAGGAATGATGGAGGTACCAAACCATAGACGCAAACGGAGAAGAAATCGGAGAATCGAGGGCATCAACATAAACAGAGCATAGCATCGACACTACAAACACTACAAATCGGAGAATGCAAACCTGAATGGTGATTCTGACGCCTAACTATCAAACGACTCCCCAAAACTAGTGCGACGAGAAGACACTACACAGCAATGAATCGGTCTCAATTTCGCAGGGAAGGTTTAGAGAGAAATTGCCATAGGAGATGTAGCGACTATCAGCAGATTCGAAGAAGAGGGAACTAGGGTTATCCTTTCGGCAGATACAAAGAAGAGGGAAATAGGGCTTCGCTTACCTCATTTAAAATGGGCCCGACTAAAATAATGAAAGGGCTTTGATCCCTTTAATCATATGGGCTCAGACAACAGCCAATTTAAACCATGTTTGAACCAACCCAGTCTCCCTACACAAACACTACAAATCTGCACCAGAAACCCAATCAAACATTAAAATACATTAAACCAGAGACAATCTGGGTTTATGTTTTGCCTGGGTTCATACATGAAAACATAAACCCCATTTTCAGACTCCAGTAACATCGATAAAACATGAAGCCTAAATTCAATATTCTTCATATAATAAACCCAAAAATCTGTAAAAATGAAACTAAGGCCCCAAAAAATTGTTCAGAAACAACTATGGCCCCCAAAAAATCAGTGCATATCTATGTACAAAAAAAATCTGCAAACATATAAAGGGCGCACCAAATATCTGCTACTGTTCATCCATCCTTATACATATAATGTACTGTTATGCTTCTTCCTCGTCACTAAAGGATGGATCATTCCCATCTGGGTGTTTAGTTTCATTCGTCGTGAAATGATGGTCATCTAAAGTGTCGTCCTCTATCTCCTCATCGCTTGCTTCCACTGCTGCAGCTCGTCCATCAATGGCTCGTATGACTGGCTCAGTAACGATTGTTGGTGCCTCATCATCACGACTCAAATCCGCTAAGTCGCTTTCACTGACATTAAAATTAGAAATGTCCACATCTTGTTGGTATGGTTGATTTTCATACACTGGATCCCCATGTCCCGCTTCCTCCTTCTCGGGAACATCGTACAAACTTCTTGGACATACCTTGTGGACGATATGCCGTGCACCACCATTCTTAATATCCGCAATGTAGAACACTTGGTTAGCCTGACTGGCCAATACATATGGGTCCTCTGTACACCATTTTATATCCATGTTTATGCTCGTCAAGTGTCCATCCATCCTTATTCCATTCTTCTTGTCCCCCACATTGAACCATTTGCACTTGAATACAAACACCTGATGCCCTCCAGAATATTGAAGCTTAATAATATCTACCAGAAGCCCGTAATAATCTATAGTCTCGCCATTGTGGTCAGCCCTAACAACGACACCACTATTCTGAGTTCGATGCCCTTAATCAGCCATTTTTATTTGGTATCGAACCTCGGTAATGATGAGTCCAGGATATCTAGTAATACGTTCATCAGCCCCTAATCCTAGGACATATAAATGGTCAGTCTCTTTAAGCGTGCCAGCCAAAAACTGTTCAAACACCTAAAACATAATGCACGACTGCTGTGAGTTAGAGAAGAGAAACAAATGGAAATATAAAAAAGGGGGCTTCCAAAAGTTGATAGACGAAGATGGGTAGCTAGCTGCAACCAATAGATTGTGGTCTTGTGAGTAAGAAAAGAGAAAAGGGGGGGGGGGGGGGAATTGGGCTTACAAAGGGTTTAAACCAATATGGGAAGTTTTTGGCAATGGTTGTTGGGGTACCGTTTGGATAATTCAGCATTCTCTGTTCCGTATGCATACTGTAACCGCAATTGTTAAGAACAAAAGGTATAAAAAAAACTAATAACTGGGGTTCAGAGTATACAAAGGAAAAAGAACTTACTTCAATTGTTCTTCAATTTCATCACAATTGGTGAAGACATTCCATTGAATCTTATGGAACTCAGCCTGCCCTATAGGGTCGTAGTTTGCAGCACCTATAGATCTACCTTGGTAGCGGAAAACATCAAACCCCGTGTAATTCAAATCGTCTAACCCATCATCATTTCTGTCTAGCCTACTTGCTTGAGTTTCAACACCTTTAAGATATTTAGAACAGAAATCTGAACATTCTTTCGCTATATACCTTTCGGCAATCGATCCCTCGGCACAGGCCTTATTAGAAACATAAGATTTAAGAGTTCCTAAAAACCTAGTTAAATCAAAACCAAGAAAACGCCAGAATACCAAAGTTAGATACGTTATATAAAAAGTTGGAGAAAAAAATTAATGTGCGTGACTCAGTGTGTACCTCTCCATTGGGTACATCCAGCGATACTGCACCGATCTCCCGAGCTCAATTTCGCGGGGAAGGTGAATAGGCAGATGCATCATCACGACGAAGAAAGCTGGTGGATACAACATTTCCATGTTGCAAAGTATAACTGGAATGTTATCACTGAGTTTCCTGACAGTGGACTTCGATATCGTTCTTGAACACAACTCACGAAAGAATTCACTAAGTTGAGACAATATATTATATACTTCTTTGCTCAGGAACCCTTGTGCAACAACAGGCAGAAGGCGTTGAATGAAGACATGGTGATCATATCTTTTCATGCCAGTGATTGACCGACCATCAGTAGTCACACACCGGGATATATTAGATGCATAAGCATCTGGGAATTTGATCGACCTCAACCAATCACAAAATGGCCTTTGTTGTGCGGTTTTTATGGTGTATAAAGCGGGAGGAATTTTTTTACTTATCACCGTCTCTCACCAGATGTAGCACTTTCCCAATACGCATGTCTTCCAAATCCCGTCTAGCATTGGCAGCATCTTTGGTCTTACCCTCGATATTTAGTAGCGTAGCTATCACATTCTCACTAATGTTTTTGTCAACATGCATGACATCTAAATTATGCCTCAACACTATAGTTTTCCAATATGGCAAACTCCAAAATGAAGCTTTGATTTTCCAGTTATGTGCATTATCATCAGAACTTCCCCTTTTCCTTTTCCCAACATCATTCACGACCACATAAGAGAGAAAGGCCTTATCTATTTGCTGCAAAAGTTGATCTCCAGACAACACTCTTGGTTTGCCTCTAAGTTCATGCTTCCCATCAAATTTCCGACTTTTTCTCCACCTATGGTCAGTTGGCAGCCATCTTCGATGCCCCATGTAACACTCTTTATGAATAAAATCCAAACGTTCATAGCATGTCTCACTATTACATACAAGACAGGCTAATCTCCCCTTCGTACTCCAGCCCGATAGCATGCCATATGCGGGGAAATTGTTTATTGTCCATAACAACGCAACATGTAAACGAAATGTTTCGTTTGAGTGTGCGTCATACGTAGTGACTCCATCCTCCCATAACTCTCTCAACATTTCTATTAGGGGCTCTAAGTACACATGTATTTTATTACCAGGTGATTTCTCTCCAGGTATAAGGGCAGCAAGAATGAAATAAGGTTCTGTCATACATTTCCAAGGCGGGAGATTGTACGGTGTTTAGGGGTGTGCAATGGTCCGGTCCGTACCGGACCACACCGGACCAAACCGTTGTTAAGACCGGACCGGACAAGACCGAGTAAAATGCTGTCCGGTCCTTGGTTCTCATGAATTTTATAATTACTTAACAAATGGTGGACCGAGCTCATATTTGGACCGGACCGAACCAGACCAAATGCAAGAATGGTCTGGTCCTTGGTCCTAACATGTCTTTCACTAATGGACCGTGGTTCTCATGAGTTTGGTCCGGTCCAGACCGAACCGTTGCACACCCCTAACGGTGTTAACACGACAAGCCACATGCTATAGCTATTGCTAATGTTCCCAAAAGGATTGAACCCATCACTTAGAAGAGCAAGGCGAACATTCCTATGTTCTGCTGAAAACCAACTATATTCCTCATCGAATCGTTTCCAAGTTTTTGCATCTGCCGGATGCCTTAATGTATCATCATCGACACGCAAGTCCTTGTGCCACCTCATGTCTTTAGCATCCTCCTTAGTCATGTACAATCTTTGCAGTCTATCTTTTAGTGGGAGAAACCTAGCTTTCTTTTGGGCTACATTATTTTGTTTCCCAGGTATGTATCTAGACTCATTGCATTTGGGACATGACTTGGCAGATTCTAGAGGACCTCTATAGAGTACATAATGATTTGGACAGGCATCTATAGTGGTGTAACCGAACCCAAGATCTTCCATGTACTGCTTAACTTCATAGAAGGAAGAAGTAAGCATCTCACCAACAGGTAAAGCTTTTTGGACTAGGTCAAGATTCATGTTGAAGGCTTTATCAGCACTGTTGGTTACCAGTTTATTGTTCAGCAATTTCATAACGAATGATAATCTAGAAAAGTCTTTGCATCCATGGTATAATGGCAAATTGGCATCACGGATTAGCCGAGCCAATTTATCATTGAGGTCTGTTAGATTAGAATAATTAGGTGTTGTTGACCCCTCAATGACAGGAGCATTTCCATAAGAAGCACGCAGCATATCCCCTAACATATCAGCCATGTCATCCTCTAAACCCTCAGTCTCAGACGCAACTGTAGGTTGCCTGGGCTGATTACTAGTACACTCAAAGTCAAACGACTCACCGTGATGGATCCATGTAGTATATGTCTCGACCATGCCATTCCTAGTTATATCATCTGCGACAATCTCCAACTTCTTGAAGTTTCGATTATTGCACCTTTTACAAGGGCATCTAGTTCTACCTAGTGTATCAACATGTTTGCTGGCAGCCCCTATGAACTCAGAAACCCCCTTTTGATATTCATTACAAAACCTATCCTTAAGCTTAATCCAACTTCTACTCATTCAATCTATGCCTTAGCCGGATTATCTTGGGGAAACTTATTAATAAGAATCCATTTTCTTAAACGACTTTTCTCATTTAAAACCCCTTTTGAACACTAGAACATTCTCTCCTCAAAATCAAGCCCTCGAGCCTCGCTCCAAAGGTCCTTTAATCCCCAAAAGTTTTCTAGAAATAATCCCTTCAAAACCAACCCTTTTTCCTAATTTTTTTGGTCTTGGGCGAATTTTTCACCTAACTTGAACCTTCTTAAAAATTTAGATAATAATTTTCCTATGTCCATCATGAACACCTATACCCTATAAAATTATCAAACCCTTAAAAATCCCTCGTTAAGATTTTTATTTAATTAAAATAAATATTTGAACAATTTCTAAAACTAGAAATACATCTTCACAAATTCCCAAATTAATTTAAAACAATCTCCTAGACCATTAACAATTTATAAAATTGTTAAACCTAGGAAAGAGCACCCACAGAGACTCGAAACAATTTAAAATATCCAAAATAAATTTCTGCAAATTCCCAGCAGCTTTAGTGACCACCCAAAATCTCTCACTAAAAGCCTGTAACGTCTGTTGCTAAAAACCCATAATTGCACCCTCACGAAAAAACCCCAAATTAATCGACCTAACTCAAAGGGATCGAGTTCCCTTACCTCTAGAACGTGCCTAGGATTAGATTGGATCACTCGGGACGTTGATCTCCTCATTGATCAAACCCTAAAACGTCGCCGCTAATAAAATACGAGCTTCGGATCAGACTATCGATGAATCGTGTTTAGAAATCACGAATGGGTTCGTGATCCTTACTTAGAAACACGAAAGGGTTGAGATCGGGGTCGGGTAATCGGAGTCGGGGTAGGGAGTCGGCGCTCCCTTTCTTTTTTTTTTCTTCTTCTTCTTCTTTCTTCTCCGCCTCGCGTTGGGGACTCGGATTGGCGGCTGGGGTTTTTCTAGGGATGGGGCGGGATTATTTGCTTGAGAATTATGATATGGGGTGGGGGATTTAAAGGGACGAGGGGATGGGGGTATTAGGGTGGGGAGGGCTCCGCCCTCTCCCATATATATTATCATTATATATATATACTAATAATAATAATAATAATAATTTTTACTATTATTATTCCTTGTCCACGATTGCAATCCTTTGTACATAACCATCAACCCAACCGTTCACGTATTCTGGTCGAACCCAAATCTAAAATACCGCGGTGTTACAATGGTCTACACATATCACTCTGCCATCCACTACCTGATGAGCAAGGTCGATGTAAATCTTAGGCTCATCTGCTGGATCTTGTTGCTGGAGGAGTTCGATATTGAGATCCGAGACAAAAAGGGAGCTGAGAATGTTGTTGCGGATCATCTTTCACAGTTGGAAGCTCCACCGGCGGAAAACTTTGTGAAAGAGATCAACGACTCCTTCCCGGGTGAGCGATTGATGGCATTGTTCTTGGTGGAGAGTGTCACCCCTTGGTATTCCGATTTTGCCAATTATCTGGTGGGCAAACAGTTGCCTAAGGGGATGGCCACTCACGTCAAGCACAAGTTTTTCTCCGACCTGAATCATTATTTCTGGGAGGATCCTTACCTCTTCAGGATCGGAGCAGATGGCGTGATCCAGCGATGCGTCATGGAGCACAAGATGGGAGTCATCCTGTCCCAATGTCACGAGGGACACACCGGTGGTCACCATGGAGGAAACCACACGGCACGGAAGGTGCTACAGTCAGGCTTTTACTGGCCCTCACTCTTCAAGGATGTAGATATCTTTGCATGACAGTGCGACCATTGCCAAAGGTCAGGTAAAATTTCTTCCCGAGATGGGATGCCCCAACATATATATGTCGTTAGTGAAATTTTTTATGTTTGGGGCATCGATTTCATGGGCCCATTCCCTCCATCTTTTGGTAATCTATATACTGGTTGCAGTGGATTACGTCTCGAGGTGGGCAGACGCTCAAGCCATGCCCACCAATGATGCAAGACATGTCTGCTCATTTCTGAAGCAGTTGTTCTCCCGGTTTGGGACACCTCGAGCCATTATTAGCGATAGAGGAACCCATTTTCAAGGGAAATTCTCTAAACTCCTTTCTCGCAATGATGTTTCCCATAAGGTGTCGGTGGCTTACCATCCCCAAATGAAAGGTCAAACCAAGCTGACAAACCAAAGGCTTAAGCAAATACTTGAAATTACGGTGGATCAATCTCGAAAGGATTGGTCCACCAAGCTCGATGATGCTCTCTGGGCATACAAGACAGCCTACAAGACTGATAACGATGTAATTGCACATATTTGCGCCCATAGTTCTTATCCGTTTGAGGGGCATAGTTGTGTGTTTTTCCCTATTTTACGCCGGGTTGTGCTATTTTGTCATGTTTCGGGTCCCAGGTGTCAAAGGGAAGGCTAAGCGCGAGTTTCGAGGCATTCGGAAGTCATTTCGGTGAGCTGGAGCCAAAACACGGGCACACCTAAATCATTACACGGCCATGTTATGGTGGCCGTGCTTTTTATGCCGAGAACTGAGCTGATTACACGGGCAGGGCCGAGACAAAGCACGACCGTGTTCCACCAAAGCACGGCCGTGTCCAACGCGAAGCACGACCGTGTTTCTCCTAGTGTAATTAACACTAGCCAAAACACGGGCGGGCTGAGGCATTACACGGCCGTGCCCTCGACCGTGCTTTGGCCACTGATGCTTTTAAGCAGATTTTCAGCCACAATTCAAGGGGGATTGGAGTTTTTGAGAGAGAGAACGATTCCTAGAGAGAGAAAGCGACAAACAAGAGCCTCCAAGTGCCCTAGATTGATCTTCAACACCATTGGAGGCCAGTTTGAGCTTGGAGAAGTGCCAATCAACGTCCAGGAGCCGGAATCCGTCCTTCGCAGTATGAATTCCGTGTCTGATTCTGCTTTTGCTTTCTTCTCCATGGAGTAGTTCTCCCATTCATCTGGGTATGGAGAACCCTAGATTTGTATGTTAGGCTTTGATTGTATGAACCCAAGTACTGATTCTATGATTGATTATATTCGATCGAGGTTTTAATGATTGAATGACTTGAATCCTGATCAAATTCCTGTTGTTTCTGCTTTGACCTAGAATGAGAATATCTGCCTAGGTTAATAGAGTATCCTTGATTGAAGGTAGGGAGTTGGTGACTTTAGTCGAGGAACCAACTCACTATTTTGTACCGGATTTACTCCGGTAGTGGAGGTTTTGTTCTTAGGGCCTCAATCTGTCTACTCCGGTGGAGGTTAGTCGCCCGCTAGAGATTCAGATTGAGAGGGTCTGAAGACCTTTAGTCGAGACTTCAGGCTGTTTAAGAACCTTCCGCAGTATAACTATCATAGAAACTGAACTTGGTAATTACAATCCGGCTAAACTGCAGTCTAGGGGGAACCATATCCGGGTGACCTCTCTTAACTTGAATACAACCGTTTACCTGCTTTGTTAGTTTGTTAGTTTAGACTTGCATTCCAGTTTCATTGCTAGATAACAAGATCTCACTGAGTAGTCATCAGATCTAGGACCCGGGTTGATAATTAAACCCAAACCCGCTATACTACGCTTTAGGAAGTGGTTTCACTTGGCCAATTCCTGGAGTGACAGTAGAGTCGAGTCAAGTTTTTGGCGCCGTTGCCGGGGACGGCTAGGTTGTTGAAGAAAAGTGATTTCTGTTAATTTAGCTTTTCTTTCTGCTTTGTTTGCTTTGTCCCACTTGTGCCTTCACGAGTTTGCTTGCTTGAGTGTGTGCAGGTAGTGCATGACCCGTAACTAGTCGGGTGGTTTACTGCCGTTGAATCCAGAGATTGACCGCACCTGTCGCCAGCTCAGGAGACAACAGCGAGCTAGACTGGCTACGGAAGAGCGCATAGACGGCCACGTGAGCAGTGATTCTGAAGAAGAGCACGGGATGGACGGAGAGTACAATCAACACCAGGGGAATCCTCAGCCGGCTCCCCCGGTGAATCAGGTCCTGGGGAACAACCCCATACCCCAGGATCATGGAGTTCATCATCCACCGCAGCCGGGACCCACCTTGGAGTACTACTACACTCCTCGGATTGCTTACATCCGCCCGGTCATCCTCTACCCGCCGATCCCAGCAAACAACTTCGAGATCAAGCCATGCTGGATTCAGCTCATCACATCCTCGATCCAGTTCCATGGCTTGAAGGATGAGGAGGCCAGGGTACATCTCTCCCGCTTTCTGCAGCTGACGAACGGGTTCAAGCTGAATGGTGTCCTGAATGATGCAATCCGCCTTCATCTCTTCCCCCATTCTCTGGCGGGGAATGCTAAGAGGTGGTTGGAGACCCAGCCCCCATTATCCATCACCTCTTGGGACGATCTGGCTGATAAATTCGTGCACGGGTACTATCCGACATCGAAGACTACAAAGATTCAGCGGGAGATCACTCACTTCCGCCAGGAGCCAGATGAGTCACTTCGTGATGCATGGGAGCGGTACATGGGATATTTCTGGCAGTGTCCCCACCATGGCTTTAGTGATGCATTCACAGTGGGGAATTTCTACAGTGCTCTCTCTCCAGACAGCCAGAGGGTGATGGAGTCTCTATGCCCAAGAGGGGATGTTCTCACTAAGACCCCACCCGAGCTGAACCAGATGATTAATACATTGGCTGCCAGAGATCATTCCTGGGGACAGAGCAGCAGAGGCAGACATTCCAGGGACCGTGGTGTGCACGCCATGGAGACCAGATCCGGGCTCGAGCAGCAGGTAGCTGAGCTAGTGCAGACATTGAAGCAGCCCAACAGTCTTATTCCGGGCAGAGGTTTGGCTACACCTCCAGTTGCTCAATGTCAGTGGTGTGAGAGCTCCAATCACCTAGTGGAGGACTGCCAGGCTATGAGGGAGTCTACCACACCCCATGAGCAGTTGGCCTTCATCGCCAATGCGTGGCGCCTCGATCCATACAGTAACACATATAATGAGGGGTGGCGCCAGCATCCCAATTTCACCTGGAGCATCAACAC